TCTCCACCTAATCCTCTTTGCTCGGCAGCACGGGAACCACCCGGCTGCCCAGCGTGGAGTTACCAACGCCACCGATCTCGGCTCAGCAAAGAGAGATGTTCTGTCACAATTTGATGGGGACTCAGCACGACTCCCGGTGCGGCTGGGCTCCAGGGCCAGGCGGATTGCTTCACATCCCAGCGTCGGAGCAGGCTGCAAGCGCAGGCCTGGGACCACAGCCAGAGTCCCGCTCAGGAGCGCAGGAACCAGCCTGCCTGCCCACGTGAAGCCTGCCTAGTTGTGAGGAGCTGACGGCTCACCAGGAACTCACTAGCACTGCAGTTTGATATCCTGACCTTGAGAGCTGGGCCACTTGGATCTAGTTTTAGGACACTCTTCCCGGAGTCTGTAAAGTGGTGTCATTTTCAGCCTTCCCTCTTGCAGCAGCCTCTACTCCACAGCCCTCAGGCAGCCCTGTCAGAGGCATGCAATGCTCAATCGGCCAGCCACTGCAGGTGTCCTCCATGAAAAGGCAGCACAGAAGCATCCCAGGATCCAGACCAAACTATCAGATTGCAACACAGACTCTAAACACATTGGGTGGCATTCTCACCAGGCAATGGTAGGGTCTGCAGACAACAAGCAAAGCCACTGCTAGGACAACAGGGCAACCTATGAGCAGACACAGAATACTTCTACAAGACAGAGCATCCATGTGAGATGACTAGAAGAATGTGCTGTATTCTCTTCTAAAACTATCTGACATAGCGCCAGAGGCAAAGTGTAGATGTGGAGGATCGTGGAGAAGTGTTACGGCTCTGGAAGAGCTGCCACTAGCTGTGGCACAAGGACAGCTATAACCTCACATGAAGACACAAGCATCCATGATCTCCCGCTCTGCCAGTCCTTACTCACTCTCTTCACCATTTCAGCAGCATCCTGGCACAAGCAGTAATGATGAAAGCTCTTTTACATACACCTGTTTCCACATCTTGGCACCCCCTTTATGCTCTCCCTCATCTAATCCAGCCAGGAACAGATGAGCTTCACATATGGGGCCCATCAAGACCAGTAACTGTGGAGGAGATACTGGAAAGGACAAATGCAGTAAGACAGTGCTTTGACCAATCCGCATACTAACAAGCTCAGCCAGGAAGTGTCTATGACTGTATGCGCTGGGAAGCCCATTTCATTTTGGATCAAACCAGGAAATTCATTAAATGGAGTTATCTTGACTCTTTTCTGCCTGTGAAGCAGCATAAAACTTAATCAGCTTAGGGACCAGATAGAATAGGGAAAGGATGGATGAACCTGGGGGCAGACACCTTATACAGGGACGTAACGTTTTCAGACTTTACCTCTCCCTAAAGTCCTGCAGGTCCTGGGTCTTTTGTTCCCCATCCTGTAAAAGCATCCTCTTGATCATAAATACCCTGAATTCATTTCTCAGGACCATCAGCAAAAGTTTTGTTTGTCCCTGCAGGGAAAGAAGTAATTTTGAGGACTGGAATTCTTGAGATTTCCAAGAAGTCCTGAGAACACGAACTATTAATCGTGTTGCCTCCAACGCTGCATGAAGCTTTCTCAAATCTTCCAAATATGATTGTCTCAGGGGTCATGCTAAAAACGTGTTAGGAAAGATGTAATTGCAGTGAAGCCCACACAACACGCCATGGCAAATAAATTTGACGAGTACTGCTTGCAGGCACTGGACTTTGCTGATTCTTATTCTCCAGTTAAATCAAATTCAGGGCCTACACTCTGCTTAAGAGGTTAAGGAGAAAGACAAATACCTCTCCTTCATGTCTGGAAAGCAGTGAAAACTTTAAAAAGAAAAATGTATTTGAATGAGACCAAGTTGATACTGAGAATGCAGACACACTGAGGCAGTGAAAAACTAATAAGGTAAAATACCAGTTCTGCTGAAGGCTGGGCCTTTCAAAAGAAAACTAGACACCTGTTGTATTTCTCCACAGAAACAACAGAAAGGTTGCTTTATTTAGGAGAATTCATAAAGCAAGGTTACTTTTGCATTCTAGAAGATAGAAAAAAAAATGTTAAAATGTAACACACAGACCAGGAAAAAGCTTAAATTCACTTTAGAAGGCACACTGAGGTCTTAGACAATAGCATGCCAGTTGTTACAAGTTAACAATTATTTAACTGTTCTATCTCTGCTCAATATATAGTTTTAAAAATTTAATCTAAAAAAGCCCACTTGCCTTTATCTATATACTTCAGAGCTCTCATTCAACTTTTAGAGTAAGAAATAAAGCAAACTGAGTCTCTTCACTTAAAATTTCCATGGGAAGAAGTACAAACAGGTAGCTATCAGAAAGGTGAGCTTTACCTGGGCATTTTCAGCAAACAGTTACAGAAAGGAGCTGTAACATAAAAGTAGACAGAAGAGGTGGTTGGAACTGCTGGGTTGTGGCAGACACCCTCCCCTTCACCCATCCACTGGTAGGTGTCTGCTCACCCAGCGCAGCTCCACCTCAGTGTTAAATTAACTGGACTCAAAGCAGTTGTCCTAAGAGAGCTCAACTACACTTCACTGAAGATAAGGCACTCTTGTGGCTCGTCAGCTTCTTAAATATCATTACTCCGACTTAAGTGTTGATTGATTAAACTGGATAGAACTAACATTAAGTGTTTTAGGGGCACGCCCTTTACATTTAAATCTGACTCTTAACCTATGTGTCCAGAAGGCACGCGGCTCTTGATGATTAACTGCAAGCTTTATTTCAGTTTATTAAAGCACAGCCTTAATTTTTCTAACATCTAAGGGAGCTTTGTTATGCTTGTAACAATGTAACAATGAGCACAGTATTTTTAATTTACAAAGCTCAGATTTTACTACTACAGTAGTTTTAAAAGAAAGGTGTACCTATAATTAAGTGTGTAAGTCTTTCAAATAAAGACTTCTGAATTAAATTAATCCTTTACGTATAACAAGGTGTCTTTTAGATAGCAAATTCAAAACTTTAACAGCTATTGTAGTAAAAAGAATGAGACACTTTCAGCCACTTGAGCAAGCACTGCTGCAAACAGCAACCTGTGTGTATTACACTTGTGTAGATTTTTAACTGATACAGATACTCATCTAGAACAAGAACAACTAATAATTTTACCAAATATTTAGAAACTTTAATAATTCACCCAGGTGAAGTCAGACATAACATATAATGCCTAATTTTAGAACATAAGAACCAGGTACAAGATGAGATTCAAACTGGTATATTCCAAGGCCATGAACATAAACATCAGTTCAAGACACATCTCAGCTGAAGCCTGAGGTATCTAGCACATGGCAACAGATTTAGACAGACTAAACTGTACCCACTTCTGGAATCTCTGACACATACAAGAAGTAACAACTCAGTCTGCTCTTTCCTCTTTCCCCATCAAGCAGAGTTTAGCTCTGCATGGCTAAAGCTATGCCTCCTCATCTCCATATTCCATAGGACCATTGCTCTACATCCCTGTTCTACAACAACTACTCAAAATATCTGAAAAAGTAAAAACTTTCACTGATACTGTGTTTTTTCTGTCACCTTAGATCAGGACACCACATTTAACTACCTCTTGCCTCTACTGAGCCAGCGAAGCCTCCTGGTTTGCCAGCATCTCCAAGTAACTGTTCCAGCTTACCTTTAATAGTCCTGTCTGTTCTGCCCGTGCTTGAAACACTGCTTTATCACTTTGCTCCGACAGGCAGGGCAGCACATCACCTCTTCTGTCATTCGCCCGTACCCCCTTTTTAGACAATGGCTTCATGGATTCACTGCAACAGATTTCAAACCCTTCCACCATACTCATGCTGAACCGATTACCTTCCCAGACTACATCTCACTGAAGCCTTTGCTCAGGAAGGAAGCTATTACTCCTTGTAAAGTCTGCAGGCACCTTTATTCTTGTCTATAATAATGCTGAGAAACAGCTGCTGATCAAACAGCTTTGGCAACTTCTGCACCCTGTACTGATGGTCAGAGTTCCTGAATTTTATTTCATTCAATGAAAGCAGCATTATCCATCTGGGTATCTACAAAACATCTCTGTTCAATGTATGTTTATGTTATGGCATCTTTAATGTAATGGCAGCACCCAACTTAATTTTCACGTTGTTTGGGACAGTTTAAAAACACACAGTGCATAAATCAGATTGAGCATGAGAAACTCGTAGAATGGCTGAGGCACAAGCTGTTGAAGATGATGGATTATAAAGATCCAGACAGAAGAAAATTAAACAAGAGTAGCTTTGCAAAAGAAGAACAGGAGAACCTGGCACTTACTGCTGCACAAGAAATAGGACAGGCAGTTCCAGGTATAAAAGTAGCTGCAAAATCCATGAAGCCTGGAGTAGAACATGGACCTGAAAGGTATTAACTTGAATGAGAGGCTCAGGCATAACAGGAGATTGGGAGATACACAGGATGGAAGGAAATGTAGAAAACAGTGCCTGAGTTGCTCCAGAACGGTGTGTTTTGAAACAATGACTAAAAAACTCACTGCAGTGAAAAC